CCTGGCATGGTAATTGCTAAAAGCTTTTAAAACACAGCACTATCTTGAATAAAAAATTCTACCTTTAGGAATTTATCCTAAGGAAATATTAGACCCTTGCACAAAGATATATGAGCAAGGATGTTCATTCTAACTAATTTTATAATAGTTAAAAAACTAGATTCAAATTAAATGTAATAAACAAGCATCTGATTAAATAAATTATGATGAAACTGTAAAACAGAATACCACATAGTCATTAGAAATAGTGTCATGGCTCTTTAGAAAGTGCAATGATCCATGATCTGGTCTCAAATAATTAGAGGTTTTCAGCACAGTTTGTGCATATGATTGCCTTTTTAAGGGAAAAAAATGTACCTGTGTGTTTATGTTCACAAAAGAAAAAGTCAAATGCTAATGACTGTGAGAACTGGTAGGATTTTTATTTTATTAAGTATGTCTAATACAATGTGAAATGTTGCATTAAGCATGTATTCCTTTAAGAGTCAAGGAGGAAGAAAATCTGTTTCCATTTTAGAAAATAAAACAAAACTAAAAAAATTCTTGCACATTTTATAGGCAAAGTAAAATTTTGTGTAATTGGGGCCATCTTCCCAGTGTAAGATAATACATGTAATTATTGTTTTTCCATCTTTAAATTTAAAAAAGTAAGAAAACAGTTTTTAACAAAGCCAGTTTGGATATTAATGATTACCACATGATCCATTGTCACAATCAGGTAGTGACAAACACTGAATCATAAGATTGCAATGGACCTCAATGCTTGCTTAGCATCTAGCTGCAATTTTTTTATTTGTCTTCCTTTTTAGTCCCCTTATATCTAATTGGAAACTTGATCTTTTTAGGTTCCTAAACATTGGCTATGGTCAAAATGGGAAGTAATCTAATAAACCTTCACAAGACAATTTTTTTTCAGCCTATGTAGTACTGCAAGCCAATTGAACACAGCAGAATTTAAATGCTTCTGGAGGGAAGGAAACAACATCTGGGATGTATTAGAATTGATTGGAGGGTAAGAGTTGAGAAGAAAGGCCTAGAAAGAGCAGAGTTAGAAGAACTTTTGTGCCCATAGTGTTTAATAAACAAAACTTAATGGACTGGATTTTGATATCACATTGAGAAAAATTACTTTATCATGTCAGATAAATGGGAAAAGAATAGACTATGGAACAAATTGTGTTGGGACAAGTGACTAACCAGTTGGAGAGAGTATAGTTAGATCATAACCTTAGACTATAAATCAAAATAAATGTGAATTAAGTATTTAAAGTAAAAAAATGAAAGTAAAAATGTACTGAAAATATCAGTTAATATTTAGGCATGACCTCAATATTATAATTATATAATAGAATTGACAGGCCTAAGTTTATAGACATATACTTAAAATATATACTTAAATATATTTATATTTAAAATATGTTGTCAAAGTATGAATTATGAATTGTGAAAATATTCTTAAATAATGACAAAAGACTGATGTAACTTTAAGAAGCATTTTAAAATAAATCAGTGAGAAATGTTGAGGACCACAATATAAAAGTGGGACAAGCTTATAAATGCACTGTTCACAAAAGTGGAAATATGACAAACACTGAACATAAAAAGAATTTTCAGTTTCACCAGTAACCAAATAAAAGATCATTAAGCCACACTGATATATCATTTTAGACCTATAATATTAACAAAAATGGGTACTCACTATCTAAAGGGCAACTTGTCAATACACATAAAAAAGTCTTTAAATTGTGCACATACCAATTGATTCAGAAATTTCACTTTGGAAAATTTATACTAAAGAAAATGTGAGCAAAGATTTCTGTACAAGGATACTACTCATCACTGCACTGTTCAGATTATGGGAAAAAAATTATTTGTCCAAAAGAGATTGACTAAGAGACACATTTACTGAATAGAATACTAAGAAGTCCCTAAAAATCAAATTGTAAAGGAATATTGACATGGAAGATGTTCATGATATACTGAGGGGTTAAAAAATATTGCTATCAAAACTGTCTACTAGTATACCATTCTGTGTGTGTGCACACAATATATATACATGTATATATAGTTTCATATTTATATATACTATACATATGTCACATACATAAAACATGCAAATGTTAAAGCATGCCTTTATAGGACATTTTGTCTTTATCATTTGTGTACATATATATATAGTTTAATTTTCTGGGTTCAGTTTATGTTACTTTCATCATAAATAAAGACCAGCAGAACAATTAGTGTTCTATTAAAGAGAAGTACCTAGAGGCATTGCCATTTAAATTGGACCTCAAAGGGAACAAGGGCTTTCATTCATGGTGAAGTAACTGACATCTTGCCCTTTGTGCAGAGGTAGTATACTATGAAAAAAGTTTGGGAGAAGAGGAGAGATGGCACAGTGTTACAATCTCGAGAAGGCTGACTGATGAGGTCGGTGTAGAGGGGAGTGTCTGAGAAAGGCAGTCAAACCAGACAAGAGGAATGGAAAAGGTCAACTCTACTCACTTCCTTATTTGGTCCTCAACTCAAGAAGTGTTTCCACCTTTGATTCTTCTAACTCTTCCTAGAGTGCCCCCACTTCAATAAAAGATGTCAACATCCTCAAGCTGTGGAAGCCACAACCTGGGACTTTAATCCTTCTCTTCCTTTACGTAGCCACACCAACTTCCAGTCTATCATAATGTTAGGCAGGAAAATAGGTATGAGCAGGGTGGAAAGAGAACAAGGGCAGTGAAGGCCCCTAGAAAGGACTCAGTTAACCAGTTAAAACTAAAAATCCAGAAAAAACTCAAAGTTAATGAGTTAATCAGTTAAAGCTCAAAAGGTCAAGAGTAACTTGGCTTTGAATGTTTGAATATTCCCCAGATAAGGAAAAGTATCTGAGCACAGCCCATGTCTGCACTTCAATTAGATCATTCTATATTTACTCTAGCCTGCTAAAAGGTCCACCTATAAACAGTGTAATAAAGACAGGGAGATCCCACCTTAAAGCCAAAATTGCATTTTGAAAAAAAAAAAAAAAACCAGGAAGTTTAAGAAAAAAGATTCTTAACATTCTCTTTAGCAAACAACAAATAACTCTGCCCACCTTGGAGGAAGGGCAGTCTTGATTGATATGCTCCCAAAGCAGGAAGCTGCTATCCTGGGAGGGGAACAAAGCAGTAAATTTCTTGTGTCAAGCTAATTTTGCAGAATTACCTAGAGGACTGCTAAGAAACTTAATGTCTCATCAAAGATACTTGAGACCACTTAACAAGCCCACTCCCTAGCCCTTTGTCACATTCCCAAAAAATCCTTAAAAGGGGGAACTCCCAATCTTTCTGCGTGCTCCTCTCTCTGAGGTCACCCGCACTTAGAGTGCAGAACTAACTTTTCCCAACCTTTTAGGGTGCTCCTCCATCTGAGGTTGCCCACACTTTGTAAGTGTGTAACCTTTTAAACTCTTTCTCTCCAACCTTTCAGGGCGCTCCTCTCTCTGAGGTCACCCGCACTTTCTGAGTGTGAAAGTTTAACTTTTCCCAACCTTTCAGGGTGCTCCTTTCTCTCTGAGGTCACTTGCACTTTCTCTCTAAGTAACTTTAAATAAAACTTTTATTCTGCTTCACTACTGTGTCTCTGCCCTTCAATTCTTTGTCGCGGCAGGGACAAGAACCAAAAAAAAAAAAAAATACACAACACCTCTCCAACGATAAATCTTATATCCAAAATGCCACTTGAATCCATCCACATCTCCCCATACCCATTACCACCACCTTAGTCCAGTTCATCTTTCATCTCAAACATTAAAACAGCCCCCCATCATTTTCTTTAACTCCTATACAACTGCCTTAGCAAATTTTGTAAACACAAATCTACCAGGTGGCTCCCCAGTGTAAACCTAGAACAATGGCTTTCCATGCCCTTAGGATAAAGTTGAACTCCTTAACAGTTTGTGAGGCTCTTGTGATGTGGTCTTGTCTCTTACAACTCAGGCCTCTCCCCATTCAAGCCACATCCAGCCATACTCAACTTCTTCAGTGCCTAGAGTGCATAGTGCTCTGACTTGGGGGAAACACACTTCCTTCCACCTTCATCTGGCCAACTCCTCACCTTTCAAATACCAGCTTAAATGCTCCAAACAGCCTTCCCTCATTCCCCTGCCCCACAAATTAGGATAGATGCCTGTGTTATCTGTTTAGTGACCTCTCTCCCTCTTGGTAACACATACCATACATGAGTTAATTTCCACCTTCCTCTCTCAAATCTGATCACCTTAAGGACAGAAATTATCTCTCTCTTTTTGATCAGAGCATCCCCAGTGGCTAGCAAAATGTCTGGCACATACCAAATACGTACAATTAAATATGTATTGAATTCAAATTAATTCACTTTGTTCTTTATTTACATTTTCTTTTTTTCTGCCTTTCAGTTTATAGCCGTCAACACTGCCTAGCGCCTATGGTAACAAGCAGAAGAAAAGAGCGAGCTAATTCCTGCATTAGAATTTGGGGGCAGTGTGTGTGTATGTATGTATGTAACAGCCAGAGAGACAATGAAATTAAGACAGGCTGAATATCCCTTTCATAGCTTGTAAAACCAAGTACTTCATCTACAAATCATGGGCTTACACTAGGATTGAGTATTAATAAAAGGCTGTGGGGTTTTAATACCATAGATTTAAAAAAAACACGTTGCTTGTTCTAATCAAGGTTGACATCTTAAAACCAAGTAGATCAGTGATACCTTTTTTAAAAGTTAGCCATTTACATTTCATGGAAAATCTTCTCCCTCCCAAGGCATGTAACAGTAACGTAGAGTTCAGGATCTCTCTGTGTGTTGCTCACAAGGGGTGAGCCACTGGCATGGTACCAGTTCTCAATGTAAAAAGAGAGCATCTCTAGGCTTTTCTCTAAAGAGATAATTGTTTAGGCAGTATTTTCACTGACTTTCCTGCCTCTTGCTGCTGTCTGCAAAATCCTAGTATAAACTGTTTCTGATAGAAAGCATCAGGTTGCACTTACCCTCTACTGCAGATTATTTCTAGAGCTTCCAAATTCCCGTGGTAGGCAGCCAGGAGTGTGGGAGTCATGCCATCTTCATCAGAAAGATTCAGATCCCTCTTGGTAGCCTCTTTCAGAAGTTCCAGGTAGCTATCACTAGCAGCTTGGTGGTAGCGAGTGGACATTTTTTTCTGCTCACCAAAGCTTGACCAGATATCACTCTAGACAAAGCAGGTTGTCAGTGGAGCAGCCTTCCTGCAGAGCTGGTTAATCAGTGACAAGGAAGAGTGTCACTCTGGGCAAAGCTCATTCCAGCTTCCTCCATAGAAGGCAGCCAGAAAGGTTCACTGCACTGAACTTGGACCTCTTCTTTCCGGAATGGCCATGATATTGAATACAAAGGACTGCTGTGTTCATCTTCAGTGTTTTGAGAGACACATTAAATTTTTTAATGTCCATTAACAAGTCTTAAACATGATATTGGTCATCTAGGCACAGAATGTAGAAAATAATTTCCAAACAATTCAGAACTAGTCACTGGGGAGGTCTATTTTTTTTAACTGCTTTACTGAGATATAATTTACATACTATAAAATTCACCCATTTTAAGTGTACAATTCAATGATCATTAATTAGGAAATTTACAGAGCTGTCCAACCATCACCATACTCCAATTTAGAACATATCTATCACCCAAAAAATATCTTTCATGCTCATTTATAGTTAATCTCCATTCCCATTCCCAGCCTGAGAAAACTACTAATCTGCAGATTTGCTTTTTTATGGGCGTTTCATATAAATGGAATCATAGAATATATAGCCTTCTGTGTCTACCTTTTTTTAGCTTCACATTTTTTGAAGTTCACCCATGTTATGCCTAACCATACTTTCTTTTTAATGCTGAATAATATTCTAAGATACTAATATCAAATTTTCTTTATTCATTCAACACTTGATAGAGATTTGGATTGTTTCCACTTTTTGGTTTTATGAATAATGTTGCTATGAATATTCATAGATAAGTCTCTGTGTGGACATATATTTTCATGTCTCTTGGGTTTACACCAAGGAGTGGGATGGATGGGTTGTATGGCAACTTATATCTAACTTTTTAAGAAATTGCCAACTGTTTTCCAAAGTGACTGAATCATTTTACATTCCCACAACAATGTATGAGGGTTCAAATTTCTCCATATGCTTTGTTGTTTGTCTTTTTGTTTATGGCCATCCTAGTGGGTGTGAAGTGGTATTATTGTGATTTAAATTTTCATTTCCCTAATGACTAATGACATTGAGCACTTTTTCATGTAATAGTTTGCCATTCTTACATCTTTTATTTAAACTGTTTGTCCATTGTGAAGGGCCCCCACCCATAAGATGGCGAACTTCTGGCTTCTCTTCCAGGTCCTCGGTTCCCGACGGTGCCACCTGAAGCCCAATCACCTCTCTCCCCCCTCCCAATCCCAGCACCTAGCCAATAGCCACCAGCCCCGTAGAAGTAACACCACAATCACCCCATTCCCCTTCCTATATAACCCAGCACCTTTCCCTAATAAAGTGGAATTCTCCAGTGAATTGCTGCTGTGTGTTGCTCCTTCCTTTCATTGGTGCCGAAACCCGGGAGACGGGACACCCCAACTGGGCCCCGTCTTCCCTCCCGACACCAGCGGCAGCTTGCCCTCGTCCTCTTTTTCTGGCGCTGGCTCCTCACACTCACCACTCCTCTCTGGTCTTTGGGTAAAGTTTCCCCGGGGCGGGCCACTCTCCCCCAAGCTATCGCAGTGCCATTGACTGTGATCTTCTGGCAAGGCCCTGATGCTCGGGGACGAGAAGGGAACTCTCCCTGCCTCAGGCCTTCATGGCTGTGACGGACCGTCAGGCCCCTCCTCCAACAGCCATAAACGAGGTGACTCCTTTGCAGATGAGAATGCTCCCTTTTCCCCCCCCTCCTCCTTCTGTTCCATCCGCCAGAAATTCCTAGTACTAGGATCCTTGTGACTCCGGCACTCTGCCTTCTTAGAGAAGTCTGGGTGACGACCCACACTTCCTAAGAAATTCCGACTCATATACGAGTTTCCGCAGACCACCAAGGATCATCGGGGACGCCCTTTGTCTCCTTGCGGTCTGCTTCCAGTCCGAGGATCTCCGTTCGTCTTCCCCTGTTTGTCTCCTTCTCTGTCCTTTAGCCATGGGAGCCTCCTCATCCCTCCCTGAAAGTTCACCTCTTGAATGTCTGCTTAAGCATCTGGCTACCCTCTCCCTGACACCTGATATAAAACCAAAACTTCTTCGTAAATATTGCTCCCAAGATTGGCCGACATACCCCCTAGACAATAACAACCAATGGCCCGCAGGGGGAAGGAACTCTTGATCCTAACATCACTCGCGATCTTTTTAACTACTGCCAGCGCCTGAAAAAATGGAAGGAGATTCCCAATATCGAAGCTTTCTGCCTCCTCCTCCCCCCGCCCCCTCCCAACTTCTCCTAGCCTGCAAGCCGCTGCCCCAGCAGAAGCCTCCCATTCACTCCCTTCCCCTTCTCCTACAACAGCCCTTCTCCCTTCCTCCCCCACCATCTCCTCCCCCATCTCACCTCCTCTGCCTTCGTCCCCCGCAGATTAAGCCTGAGCCTT